CGGTGTGTAGTGTTGAGTGGTTTGGAGCAGAGAGCGTTTACGCATGAGGAAAAACAGCGTTTAATGCAGATGGAAGATTATTTTAATAACTTTTGAAGTATCACAAAGGTGCAGGAAGCCCTTTGGAGCATTTATGTTTTATTTCCGTCTGCAGGAATGTTCTTGTTCTGCAGCATTTTTGGACTTTGACCCTGCGGAGTGTTGAGTACATCACGCAGGTTTAATGGAGCTTGATCTTAATCAAGACTGTGGTAAATTCAATAAGAGAAGTGATTAATAGCGTGTTCTTTAAACTGAGCTTTGACTTAAACCCTCTGGCATCGATGGGGGCTGATAAGCTGGCGTGTGGCTCTGAGGGGAAGATAATTAAAAATCAAAGAAAATCAATAGATCCAGCCTCGTTAATAACTTTATTTTTATAACAGAAATGATCCTGAATGAACCATTGGTGTCTGGGCTTGTGTGAGTGGTGGGTGTGGGGGGGTTGAGTCCCTCTTTTTTTGCAGGTTGTCAGAATTAGAGGTTGAATCCACATCCCGGTGTTAAACCTTGACGCACGCTCCAATGCGCTGTGAAAAGCGTTAATGGATTTAATCAATTAGCTTGAAGGACGCAGCGTGAATACAATAACGTTAGTTTCGACTGAGCCTCTCTGTGTCTTGAGTAAATATTAGACAGTGTTTGTGAGCTCATATCTGGACTGAAAGTTTGGATGATAAGTTCATTTTGTGTCTTGATTCACCAGCAGGATGTGTATTAAGTTTTATTTTGGGTGTATGATTTAAAAAATGATTGATTGCTCCTTTATTCTGTTGCTCTTAATGAGTCCTAATCTGTGAGAGGACAGTACGGTATCATTGCATTGTCTCATGGCCAAACAAGCAGAGTGCTGCAGCTGAATGGCCACTATGCTTTTCTGAATAGGGATTGTTCTCTGCAGCTTTGTGATCACAATGTGCCATTGTATTGGACAGAACTCATATATATGGACACTCCTCTCCTCCTTCGCTGAGGATCATTGACGGTGGAGCTGGGCACAGGTAGAGCTGTGGACCTGCAGGACAACAGACATCTCATCCTCGTGAAGGGACAACTTAGGCCCTCGTGGATCCCTGGTTGCTCTGGATGATGTCTGGGTTGAACGTTGACTGGATTTGGGGTCCTGGATGTTCTGCTCCTGTGCTGGAACACCTGAGTTTGGATTTCAATGTGTGGCGTACATGGAGCTTTTTCTCCCTGAGGTGATGCATGTTCCCTCGGAGCTGCCCAACACTTCACCTCGGTCGTTACGGATCTTGCATTTGGATGTTTGGTGCATGGACTTTCCCGAAGGGAGTTGCAGGAGTGTACAGGCAAAAGGTCGGCGTCTTCTTGACCTGTGATAATGAAGCACTGTATTACAACCTGCCTCCAGCGCCATCCCACCAACTTTCCTTACAGTGGCTCATTCATAAAGAGCTGCATTGTTTCATAGCTGGAAGGTGTGAGGGGGATATAACAGTGTTGTCTCAGGTGACCGTGATCTTCGCAGCGAGGGACTGTATTGCATTGTGTTGTATTGTATGGGCACAGCAGGCCAGCATCAAGATATACTCTGTCAAGACTCAGACACCATTCTATGCAGTGGTCTGAGACCCCCCCTCCTTCTTAATCACATGTTTGAGCAGATACAGACCGAGGCCCGCAGGGTCCAGAGTGCTAGCCTCCACACTCCCCGTGTAAACAGCGCCCTGCCCGGCCCTCACCTACGTCAGGCCAGCTGAGAGGATTACATGCCCCCCTGGAGTAGACAGGCTTAATGTGGCCTCATTAGCGGAACACAATGACGCCCCCACCTCTGAGTGCAGATAACAGGCCCCCGGCTCAGCCAGACTTCAAACACAGCTCAACACTCAGACTTACACAGGCCCACAGGTGGTGCAACGTGCAGCGAAAAGAGACGAGGCGGGAGAACGGTCACACATCTGCATCGGTTTCATTCTTGTTATGTCACAGAAACACTCAGTGACTGTCAGCTGTCCATTCTGATATCAATGAATCAGATAATCATTCTATCAAAAATGATTAACACTCGTTATTTCCAGCTTCATTTTTCTGCTTTTCTTTCTTTTTATACTTTAGTGTTCATAATTTTTTTAAATATTTACACAGTCACATAGAAAAAACAAACAACTACATGTCCTTCAGTCCATCCATTCTCTCGTTTACATCATTAGTCTTAGTCTTTGTCACTAATTCACAGCATTCTTCATTAAAAATAAAATCAGCGTGTTTTGGACTTTTACAGAGACAAAACAAACTATTTGTACATTTGACCTTTGACCTTTGGTTGGTCTTTTACATGAAGTAAAATATGATAGGACATAAGATAAAATCATATATATGATTTAAAATCAATAAATGGTATAAATATTATAGAAATTACATAATGAATAAAAAATATTTGGCATGAAATGTTTTTGAATTAGGGGGACAAAATAAATATTTGAAAGGAGCCAAGGTTTTTTAATGTTTCGAGGGTTTTTACAAGATAGAAAATAAATTGCTCTTTCAACATGTGGTGGACATTTTTGACGATCAATGTGTCAACTGATGATATTTTTTTATTTCTTGATAAAGTATGAAATTACACGGATGTGTATCCGTGTAGTTACACAACATGTAGAAATAATAGGAAGAAATCACCTAAAGCAAAAGCAGAAAAACAAACATAGACACATCCCACCCAGCCCATCCCTTGGAAGTATAATTGTAATGTTCAATATATGTTTCAATTAAAATATGTTTGTGTCTTATATCTTATCAATACTGTGCAATATGCAGCTCACTGTCTTATTTATTTCTTTACCTGTCACTTCACTGATCTGAACTTCAGTTGTAAATTAACCTGCTGGATAAAACATGTGACTGAATGTTCTTTGTGCTCAGAAGTGAAGGAAATGAAATGAGTTGCAAGAACAAATCACTTCTTCCACTAGGCTCTCTGTCACCGTCTAATTCTATTTCAGCTGTCTGATGAGGTAAAGCTCCACTCGAGCTGAAAACAGCAGTTTTCTTTGTAAGTTAGGAATTGTATTCTGCGTCGGCTGCTGATAAGAGTCTTAGCTGAGGAACTGAATAAGTCTTTCACATCTTTAATTGTCCAGGCAGCCGAGCTTTGGCACAGACATTTCTTACATCTGTGTTTCTGGGGATGAATTGTCTTAAGCTCGGCCTCTAGTTTTTTATGTGTGAGAGTCTGACCTTGATCCCAGACCTTGGCCACACGTCTCTCTCCTCGGCAGACAGAGGAGAACCTGGGCCTGTGTTTAGCTGTAATTAGCCCTAATTATTAACTGGAACTAGACTGAGACCTGTGAGACACCATGATATCTGTGTCTGTCTTAAACAGCTCATTCAAGGCAGCAGATAACCACAACAACCAGGCCTGATCAGCTCCAGCAGCAGCAGCAGCAGCCTGAATGTTTAATTAAATAGTGTGAACTGGTTAGACTCAGACATTAGATTATTTGCAGCAGAAACCTGAGATAAAATTCCAGCCCAAAACAGACTGACAAATCTTTTTAGCCAAAGTGAATGACCGTGTTCCAGACTGCAACTGATTCTTGATTCAATTTCTTTTGATTCTTTTTATGCAAACTCTCTATGCGGATCACAAAGAGCTTACGTATGTGCCTCTCCCTCCGCAAACACGCTCTTTTTCTCTCTTCTGCTCGTCTGAGACCTGATACAAATTCAAAAGGATCTGCTGCTTTGAAGATAAGCCCCGTAGTTCTGCCATAAACAATGATTGTGCTGTTTCTTTCCTGTGGCGTGATTTATTTAAAGTATTATGCTGTAAGGATTTGGGCTGGTTTTCCTGGCAGGGACGCCTGTGTATGTATCCACTGCTTGTGTAGTTTATTGGATACTTGCGAATCAGGAAAACGTTCAGGGAACCACCAGCAGAGTCATCAAAGCGTGACCTTTGACTCGGCAGTAGCATGTTATGAAATTTAACAAATGCTCAGAGGAATTGACCTTTTAAATTCTGCTTTTAAAAAATTGGATGCACAAATAGACTTATTATAAATTCATTATATTTAGCTCACAAGCTTATTCTTGTCATCTCTTTTAATTTGTGCTCAACTTGGGGACTTTGTAAAGAAACACAATGCTCCTGGTCTCGCACACACACACACAAACATATGCTTCCTTTGATAAAATGTTTTTATACCAGCACAAGTTCTATGGCAGCGTCCCTTAAGACAATATCAGCGTAAAATACCAAGTTATTTATAGCAAGTGTGCCATTCTGACTTCAAAAAATAAACATGGCCATAATGGAGAGTTCAAATAAGGGGGGGGGGGCATCATCCAAGCAAAACACACAACATATTCTGATGCATTGAAGGTGTAAAGTGTTGAGTGTGTTATCACAAACAAATCTCAATGAGATTCAGTATTTCACCACCTCTGATTAAAAACATTTTAACTCAGTGATTGTGTGAATATTGTGAGTATCATTAACACTTTAAGAGTAAGTGCTCCTTCTGTGTGATATCATTCAATATCAAAGCATCAACATTTCCTCATGTCAATTTATGTCTCCTAAAGCATAACCGGGTGAAGCTTGTATATATGTGTTTGCCTGTGATTGTGTTCCGAGAGGAGGGGGAGAGGGATCTTTTGAACGTCCACACCAGGATACAGCTGCCTATGACTAATTTCAAACTCCCCTTCTCGGGCCTAGGCAACCCATTTCACAAGTAACACACATCACCAGGCATCTGTTTCCTGTTTTCATTCTTTGAGTTATCTTATTTTCCTTATTTCCCCCTCACCTGTTACAGTTCACGTTCCTTCCATCATGAAGCAAGGGCCACGGGTCATGCCACGACATGGGGTTGTCAGATGTCGGCCACTCGAAATAATATTTGTGTATGTGGGATTAAATATATTGTAGATATATTGTCCAGAACTCAAAACACCAAAATTTAATCCATTCAAACACTATGTTGGGAAATGTAGTTTTCAAGGTAAAGTTTAATGACAATACATTTCTTAACACAGAATGCAGATTTTCCAAGTTTAGTTTTTTAATATAAAATGGAAACATATCTTATATTTCACATGTTTTTTAACATGCAAAACTCAGATTTTAATGTACAATTTTTTCCCTCACACCTATGAATTGTAATATTTCAGCAGTTTCTCATCAGTGGGTTTCAGTATCTTCTTCTCCGACATGTTAACGACCCAGCCTGGAGCGAGGCCAAAGAAGATCTGTCGTACATCCTTCCTCATGGAGAGCATGTGATACAGTTCATCCTTTGAAATGTCTGGCAAAATATATCCATACTTCTGTGCCAAGGCTAACCGGGCCTGCTGGATCTTCTCCGGGTCCGCCAAATAACCACGGTTTTCAGCATTCATGTAGTACGGAACCATTTCCTGTCCCGGTAACATTCGCCTTGGAATAGGCTGCCCACGCATGAAGAACGGCACCGGCTTAATAAGGATGTCTGTAAAAGTGAAAATATATTTTAAGCGTCTGTTTTAAAATGCTTTAAGATGAGTGAGTGCACAAGACTTGCAATTAATCATTTACCAAGACTAATAGGGTCGTAGAAACTGGTCGTGACGACGCCTCCGTTTCTCTCGATAGCAGCGATGGCTCCTTCAGAAGCTCTCTGAACCTCAATGTGGATTTTCGCAGCAAAAGTCTTAGCACCCTAGAACACAACAAACACATGTGAAGTGAAACAGTGAAAAAACAGGGGTCAACAACCACATCTTGATCTGTCCATCACTGGAAGAATGCTGTCGTGTGGCGCCACCTCCTGGCACAAGATGATCAAAGAGGCTACAGTTGAAGATCTGTAACAGCAACTTTCATGGCTCACAGAAATGAACAGTGTCCCTGGTTTTCGGGGTAAAACATTTCATTCTACTACAAAAACAATGTCCCTTCTGTTGTAACTGTGTTTCTTCTGTTAAACCAAATGCACTTTAACAGCTTTGAAAGATTAGAGCAAAGTTGATGTTATATTCTGATAGTTTGTTAAACTACTATGACATTGACACTATAGGAAATGTCCATGATCAACAACATGCTATAATCATACAGCCTTTACCTCATCGACAAGCTGGACGCCATAGTCTCTCTTCAGAGGCTGTATCGTCACGCCTCTACCATTGACCAGCTGTGTCAGGTCTATGGGCTGGGTCGTGTCGACTCGTCCCAAATCAATAAGGTACTGCAGACGTCTTAAAGACAGAGGCTGGTACTGAGGACGGCGACTGAAGAAAAAGACAAACATGTAATTAGTTGAGTGAAAATCACATTTTATTACAGCTCCACAAACACAGGAGCACCATTGTTGTGCACTTGTCATGTTGTTGCTACCTGATGCATCATGACGGCTACCAGGAGCTAAATCTGAAGTTTATTTAATGGGATATTCTCATCAGCTCAGAGCAATGACATGTGTCCTTTTGGACAATGCATGTCTAGAATAAAAGATTGATGTTGGTGGACAAGAGGAACTGCTCCAGATTTCTGATTTGATGCAAAAAATCATGTGCAGCATTCACACATGTGACAGCACGTTGTGTAATAACATTGAACCAGAAGTCACTGGTAGAGGTGTGACACAGTGTGACCTGTGTTTACCTGTGTCCTTCATTGAAGCCATATTTCGGGATAACCAGATAGAAGGGGGTCTGTCCTCCCTCGAACCCAAGCCGAGGCCGGTTCCCTCTCTGCCGCTCTCCTTTGTGTCCCCTGCCGCTCCTGTTGCCCCCGTGTTGTCCTCTCCCCCTTCGTCTCTCCTGCAACACAAAACACGAGCGGGTTGTTTTTATCATTCACTGGGCAAATAAGCTAACTGGCGATGCTAGCACTAGCATTCTGCTAAAATACGATCAAAACAGGGGAGGGAAATAAAACCTGACCAGCTTTTTGGATCCGGGCTCAGGCCGCAGGTTCGCTAAAGTTATCCTCGGTAGGTTTTGTAAAACACCTAAAGCTTTGGCTCCGGGTTTGACGGGGACAGACATGTTGGAGCCGCTCACATGTCACAGCTGCTAAAGCAAGGACACAGAGGTCACGTGACAGGGGGGGAGCGGAAGTACTCGTGGCAGGCAAGGCGACGTTTCAAAATAAGAGTAGACACTCCAATTCAACTGTGGAGGGTTTTTTTTTTAATCGGATTTATTTGACCTTTGTTGAGTATCATTAAATATTAGTCTCATAAAGGTAGAACATCTAATATGATGACTCAGTGTATGGGTAAAATAAACGCACTGTAAATTATGGAAACAAAATTAAAGACAGGTTCATCACTTTTTCGGGGTCCCCTAGAAACATTTCCTGTGTCCTTCTCTCTATTTGCAGTGCGTTGAGCTCTCTCGGCCACCGTAGTACACAGACCCACTGAAATATAGTTAGATGCTAAGACTAAAGTTAAAGAGTTCTATGCTTATGTTTTATATTTATTCGTGTTATTTAATATTCGTATTGTTGCATAATCTCGTTGTGTTGCGCTCTGCTGTGTGTTGGGGATTTAACTGAGGCGCCCCTCACTGACAGTCCAGTCAACCAATCGCTGCTCTCCATTCCCGAGCGACCTCTGGAAGCAGCCAATCAGCTCGCTCAGTGGGCGGGGCTGCGTGGGGGAGTCCGTTCCACTGGAGAGCGTCGGTTGCACTGACCCACCGTGTGTCTGTGGTTCTGCTCAGAACCTCCGGGAACACGCACATCCCCAAAGCCCGCCAGAGCTGCAGGTGAAGCTGGTGGACGTCGACCTCCATCTCCGGTGGTTCGCTCCAGCTGTTCGGTGACCGGGGAGAGTCGGAGCGAGGCGGGACGCACGGTGACAGTGGTTGAGCGGGGGGGGGGTCGCGGTTAGCTAACAGCGGCTAACCTCTCTCCACACACCCGCAGCCTCAGCGCTGCATGTGCGGCAACAACATGTCAGCGCCTTTACCTGCCATCGTGCCTGCTGCCCGGAAAGCCACTGCGGCGGTGAGACCACAGGGTTCACACGTGCTTTCTGTGTTTTTAACATCCAGTAACAGCTGTTAGCTTCACATGCTACATGCACAAACACACAGCTGTACCTGCCTGAGTCAAGAGCTGTGTTTGTTTTACAGGTGATATTTCTGCATGGCCTCGGTGATACTGGGTGAGAACTGCTCGTTTTTTCTACCACTGTAGTAAAGATTACTGGGGTCTGTTATTCACAGATGCCCCAAATAATATGCAGTGATTATATAAGATTTATGTAATAACTTTTCTAGTTTCTTTACAGATTCAGAATGGTTATATAACATGTTGTCAAATAAACTGTCATATTATCATAAGTTCATTTAGGCAAGGCATTTATATTTGTACAGCTTATTTCTACAATGAGGCAATTCAAAGGGGTTTATATAAGATAGTAACATAGATAGATATATAATGAGGAACATAGATAGATAGGTGGAGTTACATGGAGAATAACAATTAAATGGATAAAATAATTGTTTCTTACATATTTTGTAGATGTCATGCTGAAAGAAGATGAGTGTTTGTTTGTTTTTAATTAGGACTGTCTTGAATTTGCAGATATTGACGAACTAAAGCATTAACATGACACAGAAATAAAACAATATATGTATGTATTATGAATCGGCCAATTCTACACAAAGAGGACTTTTGTTGTTGGTATTTTAAATATATATTTGACTTGAAAAGATTAGAGCACTTCTTCCTCAACTGACTGTATTGAAATTGGCTTCATCTCTCTTTTGACAGGCATGGCTGGGCAGAGGCTTTCGCAGGCATCAGGATGCCACATGTAAAATACATCTGTCCACATGCGTGAGTGTTCTCACTAGCAGGGTGTCAGCAAGTCTTGGAAAAGTCTTTCGCGGTCGATCGTTGTTTTGTGCAGCCATCCTAAATTGTGATGTTTCTTGTCTCTGATGATTGCAGCCCCACCATGCCTGTTTCTTTGAACATGAGAATGTCCATGCCTTCCTGGTGAGTATCGAGGGATTTAAACATATTTGGCTGTTTAGCTGTTACGTACACGTTGACCCACACATTTGTTTTCTCATTCACAGGTTTGATATCTACGGGTTGAGCCCTGATGCAGATGAAGATGAGAGTGGTATCAAAAGAGCATCAGAGAACAGTACGTGTATAAAATCCATTGAAACTTTGTGTATGTGTCACGAAAGTGCTGCATTTTTCTTTAAGAATTTGTAATTTCCTGTGATTCCTCCACAGTTAAAGCCTTGATTGACCAAGAGGTTAGGAATGGAATTCCTTCTCATAGAATTATGCTGGGTGGCTTTTCACAGGTAAGTGTGGCATGTGCGCAGATAATGCATTACATAACAGTTTTTCTTTTTACTGGGATTCACTGCGTATTTGCATAATGTATTTAAATAACCAAATCGAATGGATACATAAGTGCACTTTCTCAACGAGCAGACTAAAATATATATTCATCTTTGACAAACAGGACTTTCACAGTTATAAAATAAAAACTCATTTAAAGAAAGTACGTTATTTAAAACAATTTTAATGAGTGGAATTTAAGGCCTGGCAGACATAACATGCAAGAGCCAAAGAAAAGTGCAACATTTTGGGTAATATGAGACAGAGGTAAACATCTCACCTGGCTCTGTCCTAAATTTCACAAAATCAACCTACCAGCCCTCAGAGCTCATTAGTTAGCAAACTACATCTTGTTTGTATTATTCTGTGCAAAAAATTTGACAGCATTTCACCTCCACAGTGGATTATATGTGGGACTATTTATTGCTTCTTTGCTGTTGCTAGACAACCAGTAGAGACTCAATGATGTTGTTGAGCCTGGCCAAGGAATATTTTGGCACACAACCCCCTGAGCGATTCCTTTCAGATTCGACCACGAGGTCAACGCATGAGTTGGCAGCGTTGCTTTTGTGCAGCAACACACACATTTAATTGCATATGCAAGTGAACAAAACTGAAATTAGTTTTACTTTATGAAATTAGATTATTTGACCCGGGATGTGTTTATACACAATATGAAACTAAAACCAGCTCCATTCTTTTCTGTTTTGCTGTTTTATACTTGTTGTCTTTGTTAATAATGAGCTGAGGAGAGTTGTGTCATCTTGTGTTGGTTTATTTTTCAAGGGTGGAGCGTTGTCTCTCTACACGGCTCTGACAACTCAGCAGAAACTTGCAGGAGTGGTCGCACTGAGCTGCTGGCTTCCTCTGCGGAACTCCTTCCCTCAGGTAAAAAATAAAAGCATGATGATGCATCTGCACCTGTTTTAAGAGGTGTATTTTCTTAAATGCAAATTCTTGAGTAGCTATTTAGATATTATACCAGAATATTAAACGAATAAATTTTTTTTGTTGCTGTTACTGTTCATTTTATTTTGAAGTATTCCTTTTAGTGATGTCTCGTAGACAAGTCATAATCTGTCATAATCAGATAATATGAATAATCCTAATCTCTTCTATTCTCAGGCGTCTGCTAACAGTCCAAACAAGGACATGCATGTGTTACAATGCCACGGAGATGCAGACCCCTTGGTCCCCTTTGTATTTGGCACCCAGACAGCAGAGAAGATGAAAAGTCTCATCAATCCTTCCAACGTCACCTTCAAGTCGTACCGAGGACTACCTCACAGCGCCTGTCCCGAGGTCGGTGTGGGGAATGTTCTGTTTTAACCTTGGATGTCTATTTGAATTCTGTGTTTTGTTACTTCTGCGAAGAAAAGTTTGGTTTTCATCTGCGTTTGTTTGTAAATCAGCAGGATTGTGCTAAAACAAATTTTCTAATCTCTATGAAATAACTGTTAGATAGGATATTAATTTCCTTAATTTCCCAATTTGTTACAGATCCAAATAAAAAATCCAGATGCAGTGAATTTAAATGTGCCATTTTAGTTATATATATTTAGTTTTTCTTCTGTTTCTCCGCAGGAAATGGTGGATGTCAAACGCTTCATAGAGAAGCAGCTTCCTTCCATCAGCAATGAATGAACTCGGGGAGTGTCTGTACAAACGCACAACACCGTCAGAGTCCTATGGATGCTATGGAGGACTTGAGGAACCACCGACTTACCAGACAATAAAACCACGCTGCTACTGATAGAGCCAGACGAGACTGGGAGCTGCTACTCGTTAGCTCGTGAGAGAAACGACTGAAACGATGCTGCACCCTGTCCTGGAGCCACACACGATATCTCAGTGTTACAGTAGAGTAACTTTAGTTGCTTGATTTTAAAGCTATTCGTCATTGAGACAAGCCATTAACTGCAGAACACATGTACATGAAATAACTAGGGCTAAACTTTACGGTTTATTACTTACTATATTAAAATAAATGGCCTGTTGTTAAAAGTTTTTAATCAATCTTGTGTATTTCTAGTATTATTGAAGTGAGTTTATTAGGAGTCTAAGAAGCACAATGAATCATAGCATTTATCAAGGGAAAACATTTGTTTAATCTATCTATTCAGATTTTAATATATATCCTGATTGTTTTATGTTTTTAATTATTATAACTTGAATAGTTTTTAAATTTGGCAGTGAACAATCAACTCGAACACATGAACTTGGCCTTTTTGTAACGTGATCAGTATTTTCTATGACACAGAACAAAAAAATTTGCGATTGAAGATCCACTTCTCAGAATTTTTTTATTAAACTAATCTCAAAAAGCCCATATGCAGATAAGTGTAATATTAAATCAGCTTAATGCGCAATCCATGTAATAAATATGTCAAATAATGTAATTTACCATAATAAGAGATAGTTTAAGATTTTGTGAACGTTCACAACAAATGACGGCGAAAACAACTTACGATTGTGCTTTATTGAAGTGGTGAGAATTCAAATAGCTATTTCACACAAATTCCTTTTTTAAATACACAAATATATCAGTGGTCATAGTCACGTATTCAGTTGATATCTCCCTGTTATGTCTAATTTAAATATAGTTTGACTAATATCACAGTATTGAAACACAGACGATCTATTTTTCAGGTTAATCAGCTCATTGAGACGTAAAAATTTATTTCTTTGTGAAGAGCTGAAAGCACCAACATGTGAAGTCGTTGTCGCACCGTTCACGTCAGACCGAAGGTGCGAGTGTAGAGGATCTTATTCCAAGGCACTTTCCTTCTTCTTAAATTACTGTTAACTACTAGTTTCTACAAGAACTGGATATGCATTAAGGCTCACAATATACCTAAATACAAATGCAGTGCTCACAGATACATGCTTTCCTTCATTAAACAAGGTAGAAAAGTGCAATACAAGCGCTAGGGAATATATAAAAATATAGATATGTTTTCAAACAAGTAACGGATGCCGGACTGAGCATTGGTCCTTGTTTGTTCCGAGGGTTTTGGAAAGCTAATCATGTGTAATAAACCGCAGTTACAGCTGGACAAAGACCGATTTCAAGGAGTGTTCATTTTCCTGTCTGTCTTCCTTTAAATAGCAGAACACAAAACTCCTTCGGGGGGGGGGACGCATGCGCCATTTTGAAAAGCTAAGTGTGTGCGGCAGTGGAGAGTCTACGGCTCAGGGGGAGGCTCCTCTAGGCTCTTCAGCAGATCTGTGTACTCGGACGAGTTTATGAAGCGGGGGTACGAGTCTCTCTGCATCAGCGTGTAGATCTGCTGCTGGGCGTCTTCGAACGTGTGCGAGGTCGGCTCCAGCATGTTGCGGTTTATCACGTCTCGGACGCGAGAATCCAAACTGACCTGGATGAGATGAGATGAGTGATCGGTTAAATACAAACTTTATATAGAGCTAAGTGTGGAAATCAGTTAGTTGATCAACAGAAAGTTTGTAAAGTTGACCTCACGGTCTTCCTCCCTCACCTCTTTAGGGGAAAGGATGGAGATGAAGTCCTCGTATATTTGACGGACTTTCTCCTCCACCACAGTCTTGTTGGTCTCCTTCTTCAGTTCCTCACACGCGAGCCAGAACATCATGTTCTCCTCGCTGAACTCAGTCCGCAGGAACTGCCTGAAGCTGCCGCGACCTGCCGCACTTTTCATCACCCTCTCAAAGGAAATCGTCCAGGAGCGGGCATCGTCCAGAGTGGGCTTAGGGCTTAAGAAACAGGTTCATCGTTATTTCATTCTCCGAATGATTTTGAAGTATGGAGTTTTGAGGGAACATTTGAATTGTTTGTCCGTTACCTTTCTTCACAGTTAGTTATTCCCTCTGTCCTATGCTCAAAAGTGGATCTTTGAATTGTCTCATCTTCACTTCGAACAGTCAAACTGGAGGAAAAAACACAGTGAGAGCTTCTTGAAGCAACTTGTAAACCAGGCTAGATTAAAAATAGCTCCACTTCTTTCTAAAAATAATGGTGTTGCAAGTTGTTGATGATTGTGAGATGTGAAATCAAAACTTGACCACTGTGCTGCAGAACCATTTTTGTACAACCTCCTAAAAATCTTCCCGATGTAACACTTACAGATTCTTACATTTAAACACAGACATCCTGAGAGGACGTAGCATCAGTCACAGGCTGAGAATCGATCGCTCACATTGATTTTCTATCTTCCAGCTTGGCAGAGACCCTGCGTGTTCTATATGTTGTTTGTTCCACATTCAAATGAACACAACAGCTACAGTAGACCCTGGATGATCCACTGGGAGTGATTGCATATTTAGGTAAGTGTGTCAACTGTCCACCTCGTCCTGTGGGGGATCACTGCGTAATTAAAATGTTCCCAACTCCTCATGTAGCAGCTGGCTGTGGACTAATTGGTTCAGGTGAGGGTCCGCTGTGAGCCGCCCCATCTGGGAATGTGGCCGTTGTAGCTGCACAACAATTAGACGGAATCCACGTAGATGTAGAGACAAAACCTATTACTCATCCCCGGTGGAGCGAATTAACTGTCGCATTCTGCACACAACAGGTTGGCTGAGCTCAGAGTAAACGGTTTATAACTCCAAAACAGATCGAGGAACCCAAGGGCGCCGTCTTATGAGATGGGTCACGGGACCACCGTGAATCTGTCTTCCCAGTGTCATGGTGTGGGGACGGGAGCCAAAAGGGAAAATGCCTTCTCCATTGAGATACTGAATGAGAGCAAGAGTGAGTCTCTCAAAGTTGTTATGGCAACAAACGGAGGATACGTGAATTCTGATAATGGTCGGGTGATAACTGGAAACCATCATTTCAACCCCAGAATGTGTCCACACATCACTCAGTAAATCAACGAGTGAAGGACGACGGATATTTACTATTCGGAATACAGATACAACGCCATTGGTCCCCTCACCCACCCTTGTTCCTTGGACCACCTGCCTCCCAGATCCGGCCCTGGCTGCATGCATGCATGTGTGTGTGTGTGTGTGGTTACCAGGAGCAGCTACAGCAGCAGCACCAGCAGAAGCAGCAGGCGTTTGAGGCGTTAGTGGGGGTGTTCCCCATTCTGTGGCGCGCTTGGAGGACACTGGCAGCTGCTTCCTGATGAACCTGCATCTGTCTCTTTCGCATCTCCAGCCGCTCTGAGCCCATGGACTGCAACCGAGAAGACGGATGAGAAAGAGATAGAGAGAGAGAGTGAGGGAGGGTGGAGGATTATTACCGCATTAAGCCGGAGCATCTCTCGACATCACAGTCCAAGAAATCACACAAGATTAAAGATCTGACGGGAGGCGTGGAGATGCAGAGCAGGCCTGAATCTTTCTGAGGGGAAACATGGTTTTACTGATGAAGCAGTAAAATGTGGATCAAGCTGAGCAGGAATCAGGATCAGGAAGGTGTGACTTGAGGAATGAAGGGTCGTGACGCATGGGGGACAACTTCAGCAATCAATAGTAATAATAATAGAAAGTGTGGTGTGTTGAGGTTCAGGTAACTCAATGCAAAGAGATCTTAACACAACCACTTCTCCTCTCCACCTCCATCCTCTTCTCTCCATCCTATCTCCTCCTCTCCCAATTTCTCCTCCTCTCTCCAACTTCTTCTTGCCAGCCTGTCTCCACCTCTCTCCTCCTTCCTTCACCATCTTCTCCTTCTCTCTCCATCCTCTCTCCTCCTCCATCCTCTATAACAATTTCTTCCACTCTCTTATCCTACATCTCTCTCCTCCCTCATCTTCTCCTCCCCGCTCTTCCTCTCTCTTCCTCTGTCCTTCTCTCTGTCTGTGAGGGATGAGCAGCAATGATAGCGACAAGGCGTTACTCTTGCACCGCAGCCATCGCATCCATCAGTCGCATCCTCAGGAGGATACACACACACACACGCACAAGCACAGTCGATTCGCCCTAAAGCAAGCAGCATGCAGCCATTTATGGAAGCATAATGAAATTATTTGATCTGTAAAGCTGATAATTTGCAGAGCAGGCAGATTTGTATTCTTTCAGTCCAAAAAAAAGCAGAATATCTGCGAATTTTTACATAATTGAATCATCAATTTATATTTAAACACTGATCATAATGTGGACGAATTGTCCAACATGAATCCTCATATTTCTGGTCGTTGGAAAATCCAGATAAAGATGCTCCTCACTGGATCCTGAAATCATCCGTCTGATTCTCCACAAATTACGCACACACGTGAGGGTTTTCTTTTTTAAATAATGGTTTCCAGAGACCTACGTTGTCTACACAAATCATATATAACCGTGTACTCACTGTGTCACCATGAATGCCTGAATACAGGTGTTTTTTTTGGCTCGATCACATCCGTCTGCCTCGACTTGACACAAACCAGTTGGTTTCTCCTGCGCGCATGCGTCCCCTGCAAATGTGAAGAGATTTTTTTTCTCTGCGCCCGTGCACGAAGGACCAGAACAAAATGTGCACAGAAACACACACACACCAGCTCCTGCAGGACAGATGATGCTGAGATTTCTATAATTCATTTCTGATCTCTTTGTTTGATTACGCATTGACTTTCAGCCATCAATTAAAATTACGCAGATGTGTTTTAGATTGTTATTTTTAAAACTGTTTTATTATAGTTCATTTAAATGTACTGATAATAACAGTGTCTGTTACTGTTGCTGAGGACGTGAGTATGTGAAGACGCCAAATCAATGAACAATTCAATCAAACATCTGGAAATGCCAATTCAAACATCTGCAGCTTCACATTTCTCTCGTGAGCCCGGGAGGCCCAGTACCTCCCGTGTCCACCAGAGGACGGTGGAGAGCTATTTAAACACACTATAGGAACCCCCCCCCCCCCAACAAAAAAAAAATCAAGTGGAAACCAGTGCAGAGCTAAAGGTTGATTGAGTGAGTGATTAAAAAATAAAAGTGGCTGCATGGTTTCTGTTTGACCTTCAGGACTCTGTGTGTTCAGATGAGCCGTCAGGTTCCATGCAGAGCTGCTGTCATGGGTTACACAGATACACTCCACCAATGGACAGCAGCTCTGTCTATKGCCATCGACAATATGAATGATTGTTATTATTTTACATAATTTTTTATTTATAAAAAACAAACATCTGTTGTTATCAAACCCTCTGGTAATAATAATGAAATGAGCTTTACAGGATTCAAAAAATCAGACGAAGGCAGATAAAAGAGTTCAATCCCACTTGATGAGGAAATGACAGTAAACCAATTAAAGTATATGTGTAGTTAGGAGGCACCTTTCCTTTTCATTGATGTGCTCTTAAATAGCCAGCTGCTGCATAATCTGAAAATCTAAAATTGAATTTATATATCTCACCACAGCACAGTCACACACACACACACACACACACACATATATATATATATATATATATATATATATGGGAAGCTCAACTACATTTTCTTCTCCCTGCACAACACATGCTCTGTGAAATGAGATTATCTACTTCAGCTGAAGCTGCAAATATGTCATAGGAAATATGCTAAATGGTGATGACAACAGAGGGTGAATACTCGTCCACTTCCACTATGAAACAGCTATAAAACACATTTAATATACACAAGTCTCTGTGTTCGAGCCTCACGATAAATCATACATCTTGTAGCCGTGGTAATCTTTGAGAGGAATTGCCTTTTTAATGGAGCCTGCTCTCTGGTGAGAAACTGTTAGTGTGATCTACAGCCTGGACACACGTTTAAGCACATGTGTGATTCATTTCTTCCTTCTCACACACGGACCGTCAGCAGATCCACCCCCACTGAAGATGCTTCGTTTCCAGGTCCAATGCAGTGTCCCTCTCAGAACTCAAAGGATCCGACCTCCATACACACGTTGAGTAAATCAGACGACGTGCTGTCTGCTGAGGCTGATCCCAGCAGAGAAGAACGCACTAAATGTGCAGTTACATTTACTCTGGTTATTATGTGTCCTGCTCTCCCAGTCTGGGGCTTCATTCTTTGCAAGTCATTATTCCAACTATGGCTGTGAATAAAATCTTTGTGTGGACACTTTGAGTTTTTAAGACTATAGAAAAGTAAGTATATTAGATGAAACACATTTTGCAGTCATTGGATGACTATTGAAATTCATTATGGATTAGAAATACTTAAAATTCCCGTACATCTCCTCATAAGTATGTTTTAAAGCATTATCATTTTTAGAATAATGTAAATGCTAAATAGGTGGAAGTTAAGTACAGAGCTTTATTCAGGGGCAGTTATTTTTCCAATTTTAACTTCAATGCACATGTTGGAACAATTTTCCCTTAGTTAGCGAATTACAGCTAATTTCTAAATGAACTCTACAGCTTTCAGGCTGGAGGAAATTGGCTCGCCACCACAGGCGGCTATAAGGGTTGTCAGCGCCCGCAGCACAGAGGGCAACAGGGAACATCTGACTGCACACAGCTTGACAGAGCTGACTCTGTCATTTTGATAAAATGAGGACTTTGCAGGAGCGGGTGTTCAGAGAGATTCATCTGTTTTCCTTCGGGCCCTTCACAGACGACTCAAGTTTGATGGTTGTCGTTATCCGAGACGTGTTTGTCTGTGGTCATGAAGAGCTACACGATGTCACACACTCTCACAGTGAACATCATTGTTTACAGCAGGGAGGTGGAATCATGGAGATTAATATTTCATTTGCAGGATTTGCAGTTTGAGCATTTGAGCACAGGACTTGAATTAAAAATGGCTTCACCCTGCTCTGTCTTCATGCACGGTGACTAATGTTCCAACACTCAGTGTATTTCCACATGTATATTTCATGTTTTGGCTTAGGATGCCCAAACATTACACCCTCATGTGACATTTATTCAAATACTCTGGCCGTTAATATTCTGCTGTGACAGCCTCCATTCTTCATCCTGCAGGAATTAAGAGGGATTGTGGCCAAAAAAGTTTTTCCACACCGAACTGTGTGAACCGTTTATTTATGGTCCTCGGTTTGTGCACAGATGAATTATTATGTTGAAACAGAGACAAGCCTGGGGAAGTTCCCACAGTGGAGAAGATAAATTGGAGAGTTTTTAAAGGGATATTTAATGGCCACGACCTTTCAGAGGGCGAGTAGACTCCTTTTTTCATTTCATTTTCAACAGTTCAAATATTAATTCATCAATGGCACATATACCACCTTTTTGACCAAGGTGAACTTGGAGCTATTTCAACTTTGGAACCTGTAAAGAACAAAAAGGTGAAAACTTAAGGGTTCTGAATACTTTCCTGTGTTACTGCATGTCTAATATATTAGAAATATAGTGTTTATAGTATAATTTTAAAAGCTCTGCACATTGCTATTCAATCTAAAGTGCTCTACCTATATACACAATCAGGGGGGAGCAACAACAGACAGTATCATAATGCAATCCAGCACAATGGCCCTGCAGTCAGAGTGCATGTGATTTCTGCATTCCCAGGGGGAAGAGGCTGTAATGAGAAGCACAGAGTGCAGGTAATGGAGTGATGAGGACGGAGCTACTTCATATTCACGCCTCATTCGCTGCCAAACAGCAGCAGTGCTGAAAGTCTAAAGACATACAAGTAAAAAGACAACTTCATGAAAAACATATATTCTTTAAAGTGTTTTTCTGGAATCATTTTGCAGATGATCCTCTGGTTTCCCCTGTCGTCTCACTTATATATTATTATTCATTATTGTTTTAACAATAAACTGAGGGTACACATCCACCTCCGCTCTGTCTCACACGTTCTGCAGAGGTCCATGGCGACACCGTACATCATGATGTTTTCTGCACAGCCTCTCGAGTGGCTGCTCACCGTCTTCAACATTTGTCTTGAAGCCCGCTAAGGTTTAATGTTCTCCCTCCTCCATTACTCTGTTTCAACTCGTCTCCTGTGGACAGCAATGTGGAAAATACGGCAACTAATTAGAGATCTCTCGAGAATAGAATCAAGGTTGAGAGAAATGGAATATGTTCCTCCAAAATAATTGGACTGAGTCGGCGATGGCAGGCTGATGTACGGCCACAGTGAGACAGTGAAAAAAGAAAAGACAGAAAGAATGAAAGAACAGGCAACTGATTCCACCTCTTTCATTCCAGTTGGTCAAGAATCTTTGTATTTGTCAAAGATCAGTTTATTAATTCATTACTGGAGATTCATAAATAATATCAAGCTGTATTATCACAAACTGCAAGTATGCTAATTTCATGCCTCTGGGGTGATATGGTACTGATGATAATTGCCATAAAAACCTAAATAATGTATAATAATTAATAATAGTAGTAATATTATGTTCATTTTCGGACCTTTGTTAAATATCCATCTCATACTAATATTTATACCCGAATCAACAAAATAAAGTCTTTTACAGTTAGCAACATTTACAAATGTTACTTTTAAGCAGCGTTTGCTTATGAAAACATAAATACAAGGCAAAAAATGTGGATCAATTTAGCTCCTTGTAAAATAAATGATCAATAATCCTAAAACCCTCTAAATCTTAAAGAATGTTGAAAAATAAATTCATAGTACACAGACCTGCATCATTTACTTAAGGACACAAGATGTGGCACCTTTTAGAGGTTTTGTGAGTAAAATTTGATTGATTGATTCTAAATAAGTTGAAGTTAACTTAATTTTGACCAAAGTTTGTTTGGCTTTGTAGTGTGCACCTGTCAGATTCCTTTTCATCCATTTCCTTCAGCTTTGCTTTAAGCACTGCAGACAATCTTTCATGCACTCAAAAGCAGTGTCATCCGTTATTCTGTCACCTGCAGAGCTTCATCACTGTGTCACACCGAGCACCGACAGCACAGAAGATAATTCATAGGTATCGCTGCTGGCATTTCCTTTTCTTTCAGGACTCTGTGTGGCAGGTACATGTCTGCGCACATGTACACGTGTTTCTAATGCTCTCGTCATGTGCCATTCAATCATGAGGACCATTACGATTTATGACCACATCTGTTGCAATTGCTCTTTGTTGAATTTGTTGTGTATTTTCCTAATTTCAGGTTTTTCTGCACACATTAAAAACAGCTGTATTAAAAAAAGGAAAAGAAAATGCAGATATACTGTGTATGCTGATAATTGTTTGGGTCACAAGCACAGTGATGTCATGAAAACCTAATTTAGAAGAAGATTGTGGCCAAAGGGCTCCTCTTCTGTTTCAAGCCGAACACGATGCTCCAGAGAGAATCAAATGTTGCCGTCGTAAAGCCAAGGGAAAGAGATCTTAGGTCCTTTTGTTGACATTATTTGCAGAGGTTAATGAAAGGTTGCAGTGAACTCATACGCTGAGGTGTGAATTATCCATCCGCTTCAGTCGCTGCTCACTCCAATGACCCTGAGATTGAGCAGTGAGTGCTCAGTCCTTTGTTGTCTGAAGTCACTTAAGTGGAATCAATGATGCAGAGACGAGTCAGAGCTGGAGCCCAGCTCGACATATTCATGCTGAGGACAACGAATCTTCAAACAGTTTTAAGGGCTAAGAAGGTTACGTATCCAATCTTGGTGTGATCCCATCCAATTAGCAATATTCAAAGTAGTTAAATAAACAACAAGTATGTTAGGACCCGGGCGTAACAACCCCCTGTATGTGTCTATTATCGAAGGTGCGAAGAAGAGAAGACGATTACACAAGTTTGCCATTAGACAGGATGATTATTTCATGTTCAAACACTGAACTCAGCTGTGAAGTGTGATGCTGCTCTGACTGGAACTTTAACTGGCACCAGCTGTAAGAAAGTGGTCTGTCTACAGAGCGGCTATTTTCAAAATCTTATCCAGTGTTTAACAACAGGCAGAGTGACTAAAGCTGAGACGTTTGGCCTCAGGAAACACAGTCATGTCCAAAAATATGAGCTGCTGAAACCGCAGGCACATTAAGTGTACGTATTAACTGGGTATAGACCATCGACTGTATGTGAAAAGATATAAAACCACTTGTGTCATGACTCATTACTCTGGACTCTTGATTCTTTGGTCTTTGCCTCTTTAATGAAGAGCGTTTTCATTCTGATGATGGACTCCTTCTGTATCGTATCTATCCCTGTGTTTATGTTTGGGTTCTCCCTGAGTTTTCAGTTTCCTTTTTTATTTTGAAGTTTTGTTCCTTGTGTGTTTCCACCTTTACTTCCTGTCTTTGTCCTGTTTCCCGCCCTTGTGATTGTCTGCACCTGTTGCTCATGTCTTTCACCTGTGTCCCATCACCTGAGTATATAAGTCTCTGTGCATCCCTTTGTCAGGTGGTCGTCTTTCATGGTCGTCTCACTGCCTCGTTGTCGTGGCTCCTTCATCTCAAGTGAGTTTTCTTGTGTTTTCCTTGTTTTTCTGTTTGGAGCTTTTGAGAAGTTTGGTTTACTGTGTTTCTTTTCTGTTTATGGTGTTTTTTGGTTTTTGTAAACCTAAAACAACCCTTGTCTTATTAAAGGACACTTTCAGTTACACATTTTGTCTCTGCATCTTGGGTCCTCCTGTTTCCTCTGAATGTGATAATTTACGAGTTGCTGGTTCAATCCCTGGAACTAGAATCAATGAATGAGGCAAACTATGACATTTCACTTCACTGTGTTTTATATTTTATCACCTGGAAATGGTCGTTTCTGTGCATTTATCCAGGAAATGAAAATCACATAATACAGTGATTGGGGATGAGGAAGTTATGGGATGTATACAACAAACTGCTGAAGTACAATATACCACCCTGTCATCACTGTTTAGTTATTTCTATGTAGTTGGATAGGTTTGAACTATTCTTACAGTTTCTTCTTTAGAAACTACAGATCTCCTTTGACTTGTTTGCAGATGAAACCAATGCTAACATCAGTCGACCATTACTCCTCCAAGTCTGAGTGTTTTTCTTCTGAATGGACCCAGTTTCCACGTTCTGATGGCACGTAGCCTGAAATTACGTCTTTGGTCTTTGTTCTAATATTGCGACTGTTTTCTCCTAATACTTTATTCTGCTAATGCTCCATTGTTGTAGACAACGACATTTTATTTGCGGTCAGATAATCGATTGTCTGAATCAGTTTAGCTTGAATTAAAAATGTGATTGTGTTTTTAATTGATTTATATATGATTTACATTACTCAGTAAAATTGTGTTGTCTGCTCTGATGTAGCATCGTTATCATCAGGATTCGCCTCAACACAGAAACGAACCAAATGTTCCAGAAATAAATGTTGGCTCGTCTGTGAGCTGTCAGAGCGGATCTGATGACTGTCAAATCTGTTTCGCTGTCCACCTGTTAGAGCTGAGTGTACCATCTAAAAATACTAGAGCCGGGAGGGACTCTTCAAATTATGTCTCCACTCACTGATTTTACTGCTCTTGGTTTAAAGAGGGCAATAAAAGAAGAGGAGGGTAATAACCTACTTTAATGAGATGTCACTGGTAGAAGACACCATGCTGGTTTTATTCAACAACTGAGGGGGAATCTTATGACTGTCATTAAATCTGCTCGTGTGTGAGTATTGTCTTGAAGTAGAAGATTGACCGGTTGAGTGCAGTGTGTGTGAATGACATTCCTTTTTCTGCATTTTTCAGTTTGACGCATTAAAAAGTCAATGCAGCATAATAAAGTAACGTCCATCATATTCATTGACAGAGAGTCAATGAAAACAACCTTTTCATGAGTCTCAGGCAAAATATCCTGAGGGAACATAACTGAAATAATAGATTTGATCATTTGTGATTTATTAAGATGTGCTGCCACTGGATGTTTTGTAAGAGGTGAATTTCAATATAAAAGGCAAATTGACAAGATAGGAAATAAACATAATGAAGTTGAGCTTGTGTTTTACTGTAATAAAGAAACATCAGATGGGCCCAGAAGATGACAGACTAGCGCCATTGTCAGGTCAAAATGTCACACTGTCTTTTGCCTCGTGCTAATAAGCTTTATTAAAATTAACTAGGGGTATGTCTGTATATATTTTATAACACAAAATATGAGTCTTGAGGCTGGCTTTTGTATATAAATAAACCCACCTCCTCCATGTTAGTGGATGGGACATGAACCATCAATAAATTCAGATCACATGTCATTTTTCAAAAATTTGCTGCCATTTCAGGTATCTCACTGTTTTTCTTCTTATTTTTTTACAAAAAGATGCTGGGAAACATGTTGAAACTTTTATTTCAAGACAACACTTAAGTGAAGTCAATTTACTGATTCTGTTAACACCGGTTTTATCTCCAGCGACTCTTAACTCATCGTTTAAATCTTCAGGCCCAAACCGAGGTGTTTGATCTGCTGTTTCTTTTGTGAGTCTGACTCCGTCCTCTCGGCAGATTCCATCTGAGGAGCCGTGCTTTGATGAGACATATCAGGCGTCTCCCTCTTCACGGTGATGGGCTGAGATTTATCCCACATCTTCTGCAGGCGGTGATTCACATCTGAATTATCTGTCCGCTCCTGCAGTCTCGCTCTGTTTTGTCATGTAAATACAGCTTCACTTTTCAATCAAGTCAAACATGCAGATAGTTCTGTGTGAGAATATTTACACTGAAGTAGGAAAATAATTGCTGCCATGTCAGGATTACTCGTTTGTGAGAGGGGGCAAATTGCAGGGTACGCCGAACACTGCAGAATGCATACTGAGATATTCCTGTTGCTGTGTGACAACCTTGTTACTGAACGTCAGCTGATGGCAATGTAGAAATCAAATGGGTTGTCATTCTCACAGTTGTAATCATATTTTTAATTTCTCTACGAAAGCAGTGAAAAATAATGGCTGAATTGATTACTCGTAACAGGTTTCCTTTTTTTTCTCCAGGCAGAATAATACCATCGTGTGTCTAGCAGCTTCCAGATAGTCAGATATACATCTGACTCATGCTGGTGCGTGGAAGAGTGGGCACAGTTAAGAGTTTTGGGAAAGATTGTATAACAAACTGGTGAACAACAGACTTCACACACTCTGCTCTTGCCAAAGTGATGGAAGAAGAGTGAGAGCAGGTTGGCTGCGAGTGGGTGAAACCTTCGGAAATGTTGGTTTTTAATAGACTATATTTTTCCTAGTTGCAGTCATAAACCCAGCCTCCTCCATGTCAGTGGTTGGGATATGAACAAAAACAAGCTATAAAATATTTCATTCAGCATATTAAGATTATTCATATTCTCTGAAAATGTTTTTTCTCATTTTAGTTTATATGTTTTTATCTACGGAGCTCGGCCTCCAGCAGGTTCAGTGCAGCACAGACAACCACTGTGATCCATCCTGCCTCAAGCAGAACAACCTTTATAAGACCAGAAAACTGTTATCTGCAAATGTGTGTAATGAGAAAACCCTCCAGTCACAGTGTGAACGTTTAACGTAAATAGTGGATTCACGGCTGAACTCGTGTTGACTACATTCTGTATATACTCTGTTATGTGTTGAATGCCTGCATTTTGTTTGGTTTAAATTTAGTTCTTCAAAAGGAGCAGCTTCCATCACATTGCAGGATTAAAAATGACTGAATGAGTGATTATCATCAAAGTGTCGCCTTTAAAAGACAATAAACACAAAACAAGGTTAACAAGCTAATTAACCTTTGTCACACTCCTGATGTCTCGTGGGAGATGCGTCTATCAAAGGGAGCTCAGTTTTTCTGCCGACGAGTTTAATGTGTGTTAAATTGTCGTCCTGCAACAGTTTGCTTTTCTCGTTTGCTGTGCGAGGGTGATTCTTCCAACACACCTAGGACGTCAGCTTCGATTGCTTCCAAACAAGCTGACATGATGTGACTGGCAACAGCTGAGTGTGTCAGAGCCTGAGGCAGAGCAGGGGAGAGGTGGTAATTAAACCAGAGGAGAAGGAAAACTAGAAAACAGTTTTTCGATTTGGACGGTGGAATGTCTACTTTCTGAAGGGATTTCCTGAAAGTCAGAGTCGCTGTTATTACCAGTGAAGGTCATTCCTCCAGAGCACAGTCTGGACATGAGGGATAACACAGCTCAGAGGGAAACAGATAAACAGTAAAAATGATATTTTCTTTTTCATTCAAGCCTGCGAAGATAATATCACAATATCACAGAGTAGAAGAAAATCCAGGACTATAAAAACAGTAAATTAGTCGCTGCAGCTTCTGAAAACATCAGAGCTCTCTTCTTCTGGAACAAACAAACATCCTAATGCTCAGTTAATCAAGATAAAGATGTTGGTGACTCGTGGAGCCATTTATAATTAGATCAGTGATGAGAAAATCAATCAGGCTTTAAATATTCCCATATGTTTGTGTATTTGAATAATTGAGTTTTCTTATTTTGACTGGTCATATTTCAAAGACAGAAAATCCATCTGACATTAATGATTTGATTTAGAGAACTGAAGGGTGCAACACTCAGCAATGAAACTGCAATTTAGAGGAATATTGTACTTTTCTGAGAGTGCTCAGATGCAGTTATTAAAACGTATTCAAAAGCTTTGATACGTGTTTGATAACTACCAAGAGGGGAACTGATTGATAAAAGTAAATGAGATGCTAAAGAGTGATCCGTTCATCCATTGTCTTCCACTTATCCAGGCTCTGGTCGTGAAGGTGCTTGGACCAAGTAGGGTATCCCAGACGTCCGTCTCTCACCCATCCACACTGTCCAGCTCTTCCTGGAGGATCACGAGGTCTGATGGGGTATGTTGTCCCTCCAGTTCTAGGCCTACTCCTGTCTCCTCCCCAGAGTAAACCCCCCCCATGGAAGTCTCCCAGTATGCTCACTGAGTAGTTCCCCTTTTGAAATTGGTTTTATATAACCTTTATACAAATAATCGTGTGTATTTGTATATTTCATTCAAACATCTTTCAGGACAGCCTCTTCAGCTACAGTACAAATAAGCAACATTTATTATTGAATTAGAGGAGCGGACGGTTTCTTGTCGTCTCTGCATTAACCGTTACATGTCAACGTGTTTTCCTTGCAGATTAAAAGTGACAGTCCTCAGTCTTCACACCAGTTCTCTTCACCTGACCAACACCCAGCTGTGCACCTGCTTCTTCTTCCTCCTCAGTGATCCTCTGTAAACAACACGTCCTCTACGTCAGATTGTTTATTCAGCAACAGCGTTCCAGACTTTTTTTTTTTTTTCATCCACATTTCTTCTGCCATTGGACACTGTTTTTCACATTGTTGTTATTCCATCTGCCTACTTCTGGGTTTAAATCTTGAGTCTCCATGTTGGTAGACATTAAATATCGAGCCATTTAGTATCGAGCCAATCATTTGAGCGCTATATATTTGAGCACTATATGTTTATATATATATATATATATCTTCGCTGGTAACACTTTACTTGAACCCCCCCTTCTGCAGTACTTTATGCATATTTGATACTTTTGATGTTTATAAATGCACAATATTTAGTAGATTAAAATAAATCTGTAAACTTATCTGCTGCTTTGTTTGCTTCACTGCCTCCACCAGTTTTTTTGTTGACATCTGTTTGGTGCTGATAGACCAAATGGACGGGGTGAAAGCAGAACCTCCTTGGTGGAGGTGTCTCTTATTTTTAAAGTTGATATTTAAGCTGATGCGGGTCATTAAAGATCACAGAGATGCTCACACCTCAGTCATACTGTGCAGATGACCTCTGAGCGGCTCATTCTCTGGAAATAAACCGTTTTCATGTCGCCTGAATAAAGTTTAGTCAGTTAATCGTTTTTGATGATGGTTCACGCTGATCTGAATCCATATGTGACTCTAATGCGTCTGCCCAAGCTACTGAAGTGTATTTCTGGGTGATGAATGTTTCTCACATACTTTGGATAGAACGATAACAGTCCTATAATTGCCTCAGGCGTGTATGTGTATGTATGTAAGGTCAGTCAGGATACAGGCCCCATTAACAGGCCGCCTGTCAGGCTGATGACCATTAGTACAATAGTACTTGTTGGTTGTCACCTCCATCAGCCATAAGAGAAGACTGCAGAGGCCTTGGCCTCAAAACGTCTGGAGCAATATGAAACTGGATGATGTTGAATAATATCACTGATAATAATAAATAATTCATAGCTTGAGTCACCGTGTGGTAGAATCTCCCTGTTTGCTTCAGAAAAATTATAAGAATTCTGATCACTAAATGATAATCAATCAACAACTGGTGGTCTGCTGCAGAGCTCAGCAGTTTCCACTTGTGGTTTGAATACAGATGGATGTATTTATAGATCTAATCACTGAGTCGTGCACAATCATGAAGGATATTAGGGTCATTATTGATGTTTACTTCTCACTGACAAGGCCCCACTCATTTTGACTGCCTGGTTCTGATTTGAATTATTTGCACAATTATTGATGTTTTCATGCAGCAGGTGATCTGCATGAATTCCCGTCTGAACAGTGTTTGAAATAGATGTTTACGACTCAATATCAACGACTCAATAACTTAAAATGTCAATCATCCACGTCCTGCGTGCAGGAAAACATCAGGGGTTTTTGTTGACGTGCGGCACTGATACAAAAACACAAATCAAATAACATCTCTAATATAAATACAATGTTTTCCTGTGGTGATATTTTCGAGTGAGGGAAAGATGTTGATGACATATAAAGTAAATCTTCAATATCATAAACATTTAAAATGATCTCTCTTGTGTTTGATGTCACTGAGCCAGAAGAAATCATCGCTGACATTTCCTGTGATTCTCGATATCCTGAACACACCACAGTTTCTTCATTTCAAAGTTAACGTGGACATCTTATGATAATTTGGTTTGATGGTTAAACTATACATTTGAAATCCTGAATGGATGATGAAAGAGATGATGGAGGATTCACATGCAAATGTGTTTTGTGTCTGCAAGATATTTGCATATTTGCAACACACTAATCATGTATGGATAGAAGGACTGTCATGTACTGTATATTAAGTATACTGCTTTGGAATATGATTTGTGGTGTAACATGAAAAATATAAAAACACCATTTTCCACATTTCAAATATCACAGGGTCTCATGTGTCCATTCACACTTAGAACTCAAATCCATCTCCTTTCAGGCCCTAACTGCAAGAAACGTTATCCCTTAAAGGTCCATTTATTTTACCTCAGCAGTGATAAACAGCAATTGCCCTGTGTGTTTGGTCATTCAGAGTATAGTTTTGTTATTTGTTGATTGATGTGTGGTGTGTTCCACTCTGACTGGGCTCATTAGCGAGATTAACGCCTGCTGTCTGGACGCCACCTCTGGCCTCCAAGTGATTATTGCCGTGTGGACGTGCTGGTTTTGGTTTGGTCGTCACTGTCTCGCCTGCAGGAAGAAATGTAAACACATTCACTAACAAAGAAGATCTGGCGGCTGCTCAGCTGAAATACATAAGAAATGACAGGGAGACTAATTACTGGGACAAAAAGAACAAATATTCAAGACGTTACAATAACAGATCTTAATCCTTTAAAGTAAAAAAAATAAAAATGTTGGTGCTTTTGTTGTAATCTCAGGATCCCATCTGCTTTAGTGCCTGGAAATCAGTGATACAGTTTTTATTGGATCAAATAAACCCAGTGAATTCGTCACAGATCATTGAATAAGCCAAAGCATCTGCCCTTCTCTCTCCAATGGAATTAGGTTCAATCTTTGATTTAACAATGTTTGACTCAACTGTTCGACATCAAACTGCAGCCAAAGTGATCTGAGCTCGATTCTCAGCTTAATCTGCATGGATTGGCACAAGAATGGCACAAACATTTATTATTTATTTGAGATACCATAAAACTGAGCACTTGTGCATTAGCGTACTTCTTTTGAGAAAAACATGTTTGGTCTGATCCACTAAACAGAGGAGGCGGGGTTTATGACCTATACTGTAGCCAGCCACCAGGTGGCGATCACGACTTTTAGTAGCCGTCACGTCATCTTCTTCACAACACAAAACCTGCTCTGTTAGTGCAACATGGACTGAGTCAACATAGCTGCGTCCAGGCGTGTGATTACGTGTCGTCCGATCGTCGGCGCTCAGGCTCCTCCACAAACAAACACACAAAAGAACTTAATTGACGAGAGACGCCGCTCGATCTCCTCATGGGCTGCACCTGGCTCTCAGCTCCGTCAAACACACACACATACACACACACACACATACACACACACACACACACACAGTGTTAGAGAGCCACACGTTCTCTCAAATGAAAACATGATTTGGTTCTGACATTGATGTTGTGTGTATTGGTGCAGACACAGTATGCACAGTGCATCCTCTTATAGCATCGTTAGAGGACTTGTGATGATAGCGTCGGCACAATCTGATATAACATGCGTTAATATTTGATACGACTCTGCTCCTCGTTGCTTCAAGCATGAAACTTTCAGCTTGGTGGAACGGATGCTGCGTGGATTTGAAGAAATATGACATTAATGATTAAAAATGTGAAAGACACGTGCTTCTGTGATGAACAGGAAGAGAAAGTGTTTTCCATGTTGACGGACACTGTTTCCCCACTGGAGTTTCTAGCGGTCCAGAAAAAAGGATGCGATTAAGTCGACTGTTGGATTGTTTTGCTGATGACAAAATGAACATGAATCATCTCGGCCTCACAGTCAGCTGCTGCCTGTTTACTCAGCTGAGTCTCCTGCTGTCATTGCCACCGTTTGATTTTGAAGTCAGCTGCAACATGAATGACCATAAAACGTTTTCATGAAGCTTCATGATCCAGTCACTGTTGGTTTCACTTTGCATTTTAGGGAGCGGAATAAGGAATTTTGTACGACTTATGTTTGTAAACTCAGCCTCGTTCACTTTCATTCTCCACGTGCGAGGAGGCGAATAAAAGATTCACTTCCTGTGGTGAAGGAAATTTCAGAAGTGTAGTACTCGCATCCAACTTTAGGAAACTTTGACCCGTGATACTCGCTGAGATTTTTTGTCTCGACAGTTTGTGCAGCTTGTAGCAGAAAAACTATATTTCACGCTGATCTTCTCATAACCTCCCAGTCATTTTATCAAATTAAATCAAACGATAATATTTCAGTGTTGTGCCTAATTTATTGCAGGTTTAACAAGTTTGGGAGTTTCAGCAATTATTACAAAATAAGCTGTGATAAAATAAGTAAATTTGGACGAATGCAATTCTGCTAAAATGGTCAAAATAACATTATAAATTAGAACATTGATGCAATGATCCTCAACTAGATCCTGAGATAAGAACAGGATTCGTCTTCATGCAGGAATTGAGTCCAGTGTGTTCAGACAGGGTGGGAAGAAAATTAAGAGTCTGAGATGACACCACTTAATTGCACCCCACAGCAACTTTATATGCACAGGCTTCCATAGTTTATTAGCTGCTGTTTATTTGGTACCACCTTGATGACTGTGGGGGGGCGTTCATCAGCGCAATCGAGCTCAGCGGGAGGTTCGGGCCGATCTTTGATAATGATTTCAACTGTGGCTTTAATGAGAAGTGACCGGCAGAAGAGGGTGTGGAGGCCTCGGGGTTTAAAAAGAGACCTTTTCCTGATGTGTCTCAACATGTGATGAAAACAAACGATCAGTCGGGGACAAAGAGAAGCCAGGTCCTCGGTTGTTGCACGTTTGTCGTTCTCTTAAACAGATTAGCGGTGATCGATTATGTGACACGTTCAATGACTCTGTGTTTCAGTTTATCAGACGGATCAAGGAAGTTAATTAGTCGGGATTACAGACACTAAGACGTCCAGTTAACAGTAAACAATATGGTTGGGGACAAGGTTTAAACGTCAACTGCAAACGTCAAGGCAAAATCATCTTGATCACCCCCTGGTGGCTGGCTGCAGTATAGGTCATAAACCCAGCTTCCTCCGTGTTAGTGGATGGGACATGGATAAGATTCGTCATCCAACCTTATTTACAAATTTAATTTAACAAAAATTTAATATGTTGTTTCTTTATCTGTGACCACACACAGTTGGGATAAACCAACGGTCTCTCGTCAAACCCACGGCCCCACATCTTACAATCCACGACTAAAACATGAAAATAAATACAATTCTCCGTAATAAGATAGAAGCATAAATGCCACCTCACCAGGAATATTTTTTTAGACTCTGAACATTTTATCTCGAATGATCTCACATTTGATTTTAAGGTCAAGTTTAATGTCACATCTTTTGATCAACCCCACACACACACAGACCCCACCCAGCCTCTGATTATTCAGATTCTCAGATGGCTCAGCACCCTCTCAGGTCATTTATGGCTCCCAGCAGCATTTCAGATGAGAGCCAGGGCTGTCGGAGCAAGAGTCCTCAGCGTTCCGTGGCAGATGTGGCTGACGTGTCAAATCCATGTTTAGATATAATTGTCACAGCAGCTGGGCTTTTTAGCAAGATGCATTGTGCAGAAAACGACTCCAAATATTCCAGACTTGATTGAAACGAATGCTGCGGAGCCTCCAAACAGCCAAAGAGAGGGATGACGTTCAGAATCTTATCTATCACGTCAAAACTGTCCACTGATCTGATTTAAAGTTTCCTGTCAGGGGTAAGAATAACACTTCAACTTTAAAACCTAGAGGAGACGCAGAGTTAAAAATGAATAGTAAAATAAATACGTGTATGAGACCGCAGGAGATTCTCAGGAGGCCTGTGCTTCATCCTTCTGTTGCAACATCAAAGAACATTTCACGCGGGAACGTTCTTTGCTTCCTTCTCCTCCTCCTCCTCCTCTTCCTCCTCCTGAGATCAGCACTAACGTTGTTCTGCGGCTGCTTTCGTAATTGACCTGTTTAGGAGGTGGACGGAAATCATCCCATCGATATTAAGATTTTCGGAGCAGTTTTAGTTCATAGTCACCGAAAATACACTTTGCATTTTGAAAAAACTTAATTGCACAGTCCACTTTTAATACCATACTTAGATAAGTATCTTAATGAATGAAATCAACATAATTACAAATCTTTACATGAAAATGAATATTTCAACATGTAAAACAAGTGTGGGGTCTTTTAAAGAAAAAAGAAAAAACTATAATGGCACTCAGTAGAGCAGATGCTTCATAACAGGCCCCTTAGCTTCAATCAAGCTGCACCTAATTACACACACTCA